TAATACACCGAAAGGGTGCATACTACCACGGTCGACACCATACAATTCGCCGGCTTAATGACGACAGCGAAATTGCATACGTTCCGGTAGTAAATGAACTCAATCAGTTCCTACTAGCTGATACTGCACAGGCAGGCCATACGGCTATGGCGTTTGCAGCGGCTAGAGCCGAGGGCTACACAGGCCCCGTAAAGAAAGCCAGCTTGGCCGAATGGCATCAAATCCTGGCGCATTCAGGGGCAGAATCAATCAAGGCACTAGCAAAAGTGTCACACGGCATGAAGATCACGAATATGAAGAAATTCGACTGCGAGGTTTGCCACATATCAAAATCAAAGAAACGAATTGGCCATCGTACAAAGCCACTGTCTGCACGGCTATTTGAAAAAGTTCACATCGACGTAGTAGGGCCGCTGGAGCCGGCCGTTACAACGGGCCATAAATACTGGCTACTATGTACAGAAGGTTCTACACGAAAATTCTGGATATATACGTACGAAACGAAGAATCAAAGCCAACAGAAACTCCGACAATTCCACCAAATGGTGAAAACCCAGACCGGCATTACTGTAGGATGCTACAGGCTTGATAATGCCAAAGATATAGCCAACAACAATAACACAAAAGCATGGCTACGGGAGGAAGGCACGCTGGTTGAATTCAGTGAGCCATACAATGCCCACATGAATGGGGTTTCCGAAAATTCAAATTTTCTCACGGAAACGGCTGCCAGAGCTCTACTGCTAGATGCTGCCTTACCCACGAATCTATGGACGCATGCTGCCGAATACTACGTGTATATACACAATCGAACGGTGCATACACGACTAGATGGGATAACGCCGCAGCAAGCCTTCATGGAAGCACTCGGCAACAGCACAGAAGCAGCAACACCAAAGCTAGCCCATCTGCAGCCATTCGGCCAGATAGGCTACGTGCATATAGCCAAGGAAAAGCGTGTGCAGAGCGAGAAATTCGCACCAAGGGCACATCGCGGAAAATTGATAGGTTTCGATGGAGATTCTATCTACATTATGCGGCTGGACAATTCCACTACTGTGCGCAGCGCTAGTGTCGAATTTGTAAAGCTAGGGGTTGAGATTCTACCGCCGCTTAATGCTAACAATTCGGGGGGTGCACAAGCACAAGCCGTAGATTCGGGGGGTGCAGCGGCACCACCTGTGCCGGCTGCAGAACCGGAGGAAGCATCTACGGAAGCATCCGATACAGAATCGGAAGAAGAAGATGAGATTGTACTGCCACAATTAGGCGGAACAGGATACAACTCAACGCAAATTGAGGACGATGATATACATGCCGAGCTACGACATCAATTGCAGCCGGCCATCGAAAATCAGCCTCAACAGGAAGCACGGCCTACGGCTACACGGCCAGCTACACGGCCGGCTACACAGCCTACGGCCACTATCAAACGAAAACGGGATGTAGATGATGCAGCCCCAAAGCACGGCGCTATAGCTGCAGACGTCAATCAAGCACATCAATTGCCCGACGGAACGAAACGAATTCGAATTCCTACACGAAAGCTATATACAGCAGCATCAGCATCGGCATCAGCATCTGCATATACATCAGCCACCGATTGTATACACCGTTGCTACGCACTAGCTCTAGCATCAGATATACACACAAAGGCTTCCGCCCTGCCCCCACCACCGAAGAATTGGAAAGAAGCGTTGAAGCATATTCAAAAGCAGAACTGGCTAGATGCCGCCGAAGAAGAATGGCTATCAATTATGGAGAATGGCACATTTGAACTAGTGGACGAAAAGCTACTGCCTAGAGATGCAAAGGCTATTCCAACTCAATGGGTATTCACATACAAATACGACGTTAACGGCGTTGTAAATCGCTACAAAGCACGGCTAGTAATAT